TGTGGGTGGGACCAAAGCCAGCCTGGGAATTCTGCATCAGCCTAATTAGCATTCACTTTTCTTCTTATCATGGTGACTTCTCCAAACCCAGCTTCCTTAATTGCCAGTTCAGACATCCCTTATCCCTGGAATCAGAGAATCCCAGAATGGGTTGGAAAGGACCTCAAAGCTCATCCCGTTCCAACCCCGACACCTTCCACTATCCCAGGCTGCTCCAAACCCCGTCCAGCCTGGCCTTGGGCACTTCCAGGGATGGGGCAGCCGGGCAGTTTGGAGTTTTGTGAGCCTTGCCCTCCATCCCTGTGTTCCAGGTGTTCTCCTACACGGCCGACAAGGAGATCCGCACGGACGATCTGTGCCTGGACGTGTCGCGCCTCAACGGGCCCATCCTCATGCTGAAGTGCCACCACCTGAGGGGCAACCAGCTCTGGGAGTACGATGCCGAGGTACCTGGGGGGTGGGGGACAGCCCAAGGGATGGGGGTGTCCTTGGCAGAATCCCAGAATAGGCTGGGAAAGCCCTCCCAGCCCGTGGATCCCCCTGTGCTCCATCCCCACCTTGTCCCCAGCCCAGAGCACTGAGTGCCACGGCCAGGCCTGCCTGGGACACCTCCAGGGCTGGGCACTCCAAACCTCCCTGGGCAGCTGTGCCAGTGCCTGACCACCCTTTCCAGGAGAAATTCCTGCTGATGTCCCACCTGCCCCTCCCCTGGCACAGCCTGAGGCCGTTCCCTCTCGTCCTGGGGCACAGCCGTGTCCCCTGCCCTGGCACAGGGGGTGCTGGGGGTGTCTCCTGGCACAGCACAGGCTTGGCAGGGCAGGGCAGTTCAGCCAAACACCAGCTTTGAAGCTGCAATTTTAATTTTACATATAATGGTTCTATAAATTTTCTTTTTAGGGGGGTAAAAAAAGCCAGTTATTGCTTAAAAAGGCTCACTGCCAGCAGCTGGTGTTGGGCTTTCTTACAAAATCAAAGAAGTATATTGCAGTTTTTAAATAAATGAAAATCATATATTCATATCCATAATATTTATATATCATATTTTATTAAACAAGGTATCTTTTTTAGTTACATTTTATTAAACAAGATTTTTTTTTTTTTTAGTTAACGTCTTTTCAGCTTATTTCTGTTGGCTCCTAAAGATAATAAGATCAGAAACATGGTGGGCTACGGTGAGATTGAAAATTTGATACAAAATACTTGCAAATATATCAGGATCTTACAGGCAAATGATCCCTTAAGTGAGACAGGAGACAGCAGATGAGAATTAAAATTCCTTCGTGGAAAGGGTTGGCCAGCCCTGGCTCAGGAGTCCCTGTCCCTGCAGGGATTTCAAAGCCCTGTGGATGTGGCACTTGGGGACAGGGGGCAGTGGTGGCCTGGGCAGTGCTGGGGGCTGGCTGCACTTGGTGTTCTTGGAGGGTTTTTCCAGCCTAAATAATTCCATGATTTTAATTTGAACCAATTTTCTCTTTAACAGGAAGTTTCTTTTTCTCCCTACACATATTCCCTGGATATTTGACAAGGTTTAGGTGGCTTTGAGGACATTCATTCCAGCAATTAACACCTAGAACAGAAGATCTTACACCCTCCTCCCCTTCATTCCTGCAATAATTGATTTTTATCCAGTTTTTAATTGGTTTAAATAGACATTAAGGGCCTGACCAGAGGCTGAGGACATGGAATTGGGGTCACAGGTTCCAGATCCATCATCAAACCCAATGGAAGTGGATATTCCCTTGCTCCCAGAAGGTCCAGGCAGGGCTCTGCTGGGATCCAGGGTGGCTTTGGGGTTCTCTTTGGAGAATTCCTGGGGATCTCAGTGGATCCAACCTCCCCTGATGTGTCACAGCAGCATCCTCTGCCACGTGTGGACCACTCTTTTAAGGCAGAACACCTTCAAATTCCAGGTTTTCCCACTCTTAGGATGGGAGATTCCAAGTTCAGCTCAGTGATGCCTCAAGGGATAAACTGAAAAAACCTTGATTTAAAAAAATATGTTATCCTGGCCTCTTTCCATGGCTGCACAGGTAGGGGAATACTGAGGGATTTAAGACGTGCAATCCTTTAAAAAGTATTTGCAGCATTTCCCAGCAATGGCTGTTTCACCTTTCAGCCTGGAAAGCTGGAATTCTGCCAACCAAATACAGCTCTTTCAAGGCAGGAAACAGGCTGGTTTTTCTCTTTAAGTTGAGCATTTCAGCCCCACAGTGGAGAGTTTCCCAGGAGCTGTGCAAAACCCAGCTCAGCCATGAGATGGAGCTCATAAAGCAGAAATACTCCGTGTTTTTCCAGCAGGATCTCCAAGGCTGTGCTGCTTGTTGTGCTGGGAAACAGCCCATTGCTTCCTATACCTCTGTATTTATCTTCAGTGTCAGTTTTAGTCTGAACATTCAGACTTCAGCTCCCCACCTTCCCTTTTATTTCAGTATTGCTAGTTATTACATGTTTATTAGTGTATTTTTAGGCTCCAAACAAACCTGATATCCAGTATTTTTTCAGGAGAAAACAACCAGCTTGTGATATTTCCATATTTTTTCCCAAACAGTTACAAGACATTGCCTGAATCCCTTGTATCCATGAGCTTGTTTTTTTAGCAAAGTTACTCTAATTATTACCTTTGTTTACTTATTCAGGACTTGAAGGGAGGGGATTTTGGGTGGTTATTCTGTGGTTTCAGACCATATCCCTCCTCCTGCTGTGAAGGTATTTGGGAGTTGTTGCTTGGCAGTGGACAACATTGGGGCTGGGGATGTGAATAACCATTCCAATGGATTGCTCAGCACTGATTTTCAGGCAGTTGGTATTGATTTCTTGCTGTTGTTAAATGTTTTTATAATGTTCTGGTTTAGTTTTATGGGTGGTATTTAAGTGTACAATACATTATTATGGGAGCAGCCTGGGCTGGTGGAAGGTGGAAGCTTTAGGGTCCTTTCCAAGCCAAACCTGTCTGGAATTCCAGGATTCCATGCTAAGATTCCTGGCCCTTTCCCAAGTGCCCATCCCTCACGAGAGCAGCTCCATCCATCACCTCTGTCAGTGGGATGTGCCAAACAGGATTCATCCACAGGCTCCCTGTCAGCAGTGTTACATCATATTTATGATGTTTAAATGTATTTGCTTTGGGATAGGGTGGGAAATGAGGAGGGGGATCAGCAGAAAAGATCTGGGAATTCTGTCAGGCTGGAGCCAGAGTTGCTCCATCAGTGCCTGACCTTGCTTATCTTGGGAATTTGGGGTTGTCCCAGTTCTGCCAAGCAGTTGGTTGTTTTACCCCATGTAAGGACTCGGGTCTGGGTGGAGAACCTTGGGCAGGAGCAGCTGGTGTTTGGCTCCAGAGGAATCCGTGGAAGCACGTGGAGAGTGTCCAGGTGTGTGCTGCCATTCCTGGTGACTCCACACCCAGGGACACCTCAGGATGTGGAGTGTGAGGAGATCTTGGGACATAGCACACACAGATGGACCCAGGGGAAAATAATGCTATAAATATGTATTTCCTCGTGCCTGAGTGGTGACACCAGGATTTATTCCTGATGGGTTCCTTGGGATTTATTGCAAGGCTGCCAGAGCTCAAGGAGTGTTTGGGCAACACTCTCAGGGACAGGGTGGGATTGTTGGGGTGTCCTGTGCAAGGCCTGGAATTGGACTGGATGATCCTTCCAGCTCAGGTATTCCATTATTTGATCCTGCAGAAGTACCACTGTTTGTCCCTAAACACGTTGTCTGTACAAAGCCTTGGATTTCCATTCATGGAGAGTCGAGGGGCCTCACACAAAATGTTTGCTGACTCACTGACTCCAATTTCCTTTTGTTTCCCCTTCCATCAGTACTTTGGGAAATGGGAATATAGCTTTGAGGTAAGTTTGGTGCCAACTGCGACCCCTGTGCCAAATCCCAACCCCTGGAATTGCATCTCCCTCCTCCTGCAGCAGTGCCTGTAGTGACACCTCTCATTAGTGACACCTCTCATTAGTGACACCTCTCATTAGTGACACCTCTTATTAGTGACACCTCTTAGTGCCTTCCCATAGAGGCTCCAACGTGCCAGTCCTTGTTCACCAGGTGCTCTGGAGCCAGGCTGGGACAGCTGGGGGGGATCACCTGGAGAAGAGAAGGATCCAGGGACACCTGAGAGCCCCTTTCAGAGCCTAAAGGGGCTCCAGGAGAGCTGGAGAGGGACTGGGGACAAGGCCTGGAGGGACAGGACACAGGGAATGGCTTCCCACTGCCAGAGGGCAGGGAGAGATGGGAGATTGGGAAGGAATTGCTGGCTGGGAGGGTGGGCAGGCCCTGGCACAGGTTGGGTAGAGAAGCTGTGGCTGCCCCTGGATCCCTGGAAGTGTCCAAGGCCAGGCTGGAACAACCTGGGCTGGTGGAAGGTGTCCCTGCCCATGGCAGGGGTGGGATGAGATGAGATTTAATGTCCCTTCCAACCCAAACCACTCCATGTAGCAGAGAAAAGTCTGCTCAGATTACCAAGATGATGCTTGGCCCTGTTTTTACCCCTAAACAGCCCACTGACTTTAGGGGTTTAATGTAATACAAACATGCAACACAGAGATTCCCAAGTAATTTATTTCTGTGCCTCTGCTCTCCCTGAAAAGAATCCCAGACAGGAGGCCCAGGGAGCAGTGATACAT